CACAAAAAGAAAAAATGGATAATTAGAATATTATCAACATTAAATATAAAGTAAGCATGTATATTATATAGCTTGCTTTTTCCTTCTTTTTACGTTTCGTATGAAGGAACACTGAAAAATCCATTAATACTATGCAAGTAAAATAATTACATCCGATATGTTAGACTCAAGTAAATTTTCAACGAATGGGCCATGGAGAGATGGTATATACTATAATTGGGCTTCGTGGGTTAATATGTTTACAAACAGTGTACACAGCCATGGGCCCATGTATTTATTTATTTTGATCAATGCCATCAACATGGGCCTTAAAGAATTCTTTTCTTTTCATAGAGCAAGAGACGAGTCCAAACACACATTGATATATATAAATTTTGGATTTTCCGGCATAAATTAATTTTGGTCGGGAAGTTTACATAGCAGTTGAAAGTAGAAATGACCAACATGTAGAAAGTAGAACGAAAATACAATCTACTCCCAAATGCCCACCTCCATAAACCCGTCCTCAGTGGCACAACCCCTAAACATTCCAGTGGTGTTGAATCCATAAGCCACCTCCCCATTACTGGACACCGCGATCATACCAGCTTTCCCCTCATCCAACCTCTTCTTTATCACATAATCCACGGCATCCTGGAGTTGCAGTCCCTTGTATTCCATGACTGCCGCCACATCTCTGGCCAGAGTCCCACGAATGATGGCCTCGCCTTCTCCAGTGCACGACACCGCGCAGAGGTCGCAAGCGTACGTACCTGCGCCTATCAAGGGGGAATCACCTATTCGCCCACTCATTTTGTTCATGAGACCACCCGTGGAGGTGGCAGCTGCACATCGCCCCTGGCTGTCCACCACCACACAGCCTACTGTCTCCGGTGCGTATATGCTGATTGGGAGTCCATTCATTTGCAATGCACTCTCCACCATTCCAGCACCCGCACTACACGTTTCAAGACCTAAGGCCGGGATCCTGTAGTCGAACTGCATCATACACGCCACAGACAAACATTATAAAAAACAAAGATATAACAGAAGAAAAAAAAAAAAGAATCAAGTTATCATGGAGAAAAGTGCATAGCAGGAGCCAGCAGGATTCCATATCCTGAATCAAGAGAACCCCACTGAAAGAAAGGGTCACCATTCCATGAACCCGGCCTTAATCTCAATGTCCCCACCCCACCACCCCCATTTGAAAATTGAAAGTTGAAACTGGCAACTTGTAACTTGAAATCACCGTCTCACCGGGATCCGGAAGCAGGGGGACCCAGCAATCCCTCTTAAAAACATAGTTGCAAGCCCGGCGGCTCCAAGGTGGCAGACAGGCAGACAGACCAACGGAGCAGGTAAGCGGTAGGCCCAACTGAATCCGAAACCATTGGAATAAAATAAGTGGGCAGCCCACGAACCAATCCAATGGATTGAAAGGCGGCTCTTTTGCCGGACAACGTTTCCGAGGTGGAGGTCTCTGATCTCTTAAGCAATGAACGTGACAATAACCAGTTGGTACATGGTACTTAATATGCCGGATTAGTTTCACTCAACCAAAGCTACTGCTATTTTCCATTGTTTTATTAGAGAATCGTAATTAGGATTTATCAGATTCTCAACTGAAATAAAAATGAGATGAACGTACCACGATCTTATTCGCCTCTTTCGCCAGCTTTAGCATCCCCACGTTATCCTCCGTAATGAAATATTCGTTTTCCACTAGTTCCACACCCTAAAACACAAGAACCCACACATAAGACGCTATCAGTTTTTCAATGAAGCAATTGGCTTATAAGTCCAAGTGACTCTCAGGGTCAGGGACACGTAGTTCGTAGGGGGTGGGAATGTGGGATGTACGTTGACATGTCATCTCTAAATGGGCTTTGTCCATTCTTGTGGACATTATGATCCATCCAAATTAAGGAGGAGGATGCGGCCCATGATTCAACGCTCTAGACTCTAATAACAATGAACGATTGGCTTGGAAGTTGGAACTGGAGATAAGGCTCCGGTTCAAGCAAGAAAAGTCAAAGATGTCGTTCTTCTGAACGTAATTAGCTAGTGTTTTGTTTGTTGATTTCTTTCAATTAAATACCTGCTGCCTTGCGAACTCCTCAGCGCCAGAGAAGGCAAGATATGAATGAGGAGACTTGTCCATGACGAGGCGTGCCAGTGATACCGGATTCTTTACCGTCGTCAACCCCGAAACCGCTCCACATCTTCTCCTGGGCCCATCCATGATGCTCGCTTCCATTTCTACCGTTCCTTTCTCCGTCAATGCCGATCCCCGCCCAGAGTTAAACAGCGGATCAGTTTCCAATTCCCTCACCTGAAATCACAATACATTGACTCATAAACCAGAAATAAAGCTGAAAATAAAAAAAAAAAAAGAAAGAAAAGCTATTGCTTGCGCTGACGTTATATCTCTATCGGTACAACACTCTCTTTAAATTATAAACACTGGCATCTCTGATCTCTCATTAAAACAAATATTGCAGAGATAGAGATGCCATATGCTATGCATGCGATCATCAGAGTCTGAAAATGCTCATGGCATTCAAGTATTTGGCCCAAAAACAAACGAGAAAGAACTGTAGTATATATTTTTGAGCATTGTAGGATTTTAAAGAGAAAGAAGAGACGAGCTAAGAATGAGCAAAAAGAAAATCAGGAACGCAAAATATGCATACCACGAGTTCGACGACATCAATGGCAGGAAGCGAGGAGCGAAGAGCAGATATGCCTAGATTAAGGCAGCGGGTGAGAAGTTGCTTGGCTTGCTCTTGACGCTCTTGTGGGAGGTTTGGGTCCACACCAGCGCCTCCATGCACTGCTATTGCCCAACCACCCATCTCGCAATCTCTCTCTCTCCCTCTCTGTATGGCAGAATAATGAATCTCAAGCTTTCTACTCGCTGCTCTCTCTCTCTCTCTCTCAACTTTGGTTTCTGGTTCTCAGGGTGCCAGCGGAAGTGGCCTCCTTCCCTCGTTTATATAGGCAATTAGGCATTTCGGACTCGAAATCTTTATGAGTTGGATTTGATAAATAGTTTCGAGTCCAATAGTTTGTCCACGGGCACGGGCACGGGCACGGGCGGCCAGCCACTGAGCAGTCGTCCAAGACTCCAAGTCATTGGGGCGTGACTCATCCGAGTAATTTTTAATTAACTGCGTCCTTTTTTTATATATAACCAAACACGGTGTGACAGGTGTTCGTATTGCCTAAATTAAGAAAAATAAATACAAAGGAATAATTGAATTTTACACTAATGTCCTCAACACTTGTCACACAGTTATTAGTTGGTATCGGAAATTGTGAAATGGAAACTCCCAGTGAAATACATTTCCTTGGAGAATCCAGAGGAGAAGACCTCCAAATGAGTCCGGATCTGCACCTCATGGTGGGCGCCTTACACTGACTTCACAGTTGTCTTGACTGCACATGGGTAATACTAATACAGGGTGAATGTGGTTGTGAGATCGGTCTAAGGCATGCTCAGTGAGGAACAGATTCCAATTCCCTCACCACTTTCATTTACTTATTTTGGATGCCTTCACTCTTCGGTCTTCACCATTTTTAACTTTGTTACTGCCATATTCCATTTGATTAGAATATATCATATTGACAGGATGGGCTGACGCGGCTGTTGTATACTAGTGCCTGGTGAATTTAGGTAAAACGTATTTAAGCTTGAAAGGTTCAAAGGCCAATTAAGATTGAAGTCTCCTAAGAGTTGATCGGCATGGTTAAAACCCGACGTCTGAGCTCAAAGTCATCAATTCCGAACCATCGTGAGAAGGAAGAGAACCCTTGGACGCCATTAAATTATTACTTCAACAGAAATACTTTTTTGCATACCCTAAGTGTCTTTCATTGCTTTACTCGTGATTTTGCAATCTAGTAGTTCGCTTTTTATCAAGACGTCCTGTCATCAAACTGTCAAAGAACCCAATTTTCTTTCACTACGGATTTTCTATTCACTTTTCTTACCCATTCTCTATCATATATCTTTATTATGAATTGAAAGATGTATGACTATAATCTACGGTAGGTAGAGAGTGGGTAGAAAAAGTGATTAACAAATCTGGACTCATTTTCTTTTCCTTAATTTTGCATCCGTCGCCCCACTGCTCGAATCAATTGCTCAAAGGGAAGTAAAAAAAATAAAAGATGTTTCTTTTTTTTTTTTTTTTGGTAAATGGTAATAAAGAATCTTTGAAGCAAATCATAGTATGGGATTTTTGCGGCATTGAAGCCTTGAAGGTGAACTATACCATCTATCCAACTAGTGACTCACTAGAATACACGTGTAAAACACTTAATATACTATTTCCACGTCAGCAGTAGACTAAAATAGCGGATGGTATTTTTGGTATATTGTAATTAATGACAGCTGTATGTGGTTATGTGGAGATATAAATCTATAATGTGGAAGTTCTATATTGGCAACTCAATAAGGAAATGCAAGCTAAGAAGAGTCATCCAGGCCTACCAATGTGAATTGGATCATAGATATTGCGTTTCTTTTAATATCTAACAAAAAGTAATATCATAGTGACACGTGTATTATTTTCCAGCTCTGACCACAAAGGAAATCGATCGGGTTAGCTTTATTGGTTTGATAAAAGATACAAGTAAAGCATTCCAATTCATCACAAACTCTTGAAAAAGGAGCAAGTGGAATGGGGTAAATTTAGAAAATGTGGAGCCAGGTTGTCTTTTCCACATTTCTCCACTCTGGCGATCATCTGCTATATTTGTTAGCAAGCATCTTCAGTCTGCAACTCCACTGAATTTAGTGCCCCACAGACGTAGTGGGATCCAGAACAACACATTTCCATCGTTGTCTTGTAGTCTGTGATACCCTGGAATCTTTTTTGACGTTTATACAATAAATTGCACAAAATTACTGCTTTAGTAATAAAAGTAAAACCGATCGACAATGACAGAGAAATAAATAAATAAAATAACAAAACAAGTGATACTAAGAAACAGTACTTAATTATTTGAAATATTTCATCAGAGTTTCACATAATTTCTGAGCCTTAATTAAAACCATGCTGGTCGAGTGCTACTATCTTAATTAGAGCTCTCTGACAGAGAGAATCTATGTTGCAGAGGATCTTTTGATGTTCACTCAGTAGTAAGTACATGCATGTGGGATTACAATATGATCAAAACAAGGGGGTTGGAGGAATGATTTTATGGAGCCTTGTGATTTGCAGGATTTATTTACTTCTGGTTTGTACTTACTCTGTTTAAATACAAGGTATCACTACCGTGATTATAGTGATTCTTTGTCTTATATTTAATCTTGTTGGTAGGTTGTACATTTTTTCTGTAATATGGTATTTGATTTAACAAGATAAATGAAAATTTTTTGCCGCATTGAAATATTGAATGGTAAACATTGAGGTTTGAGCTCCAACAAAACTTTGCGCAACCCTAAACAGCACTTGGGGCCCTCATGGATGCAACCCACTAAACGTTGGGGACTCGGTTTTTGGTAGCGTACGAAAAAGTGGTTTTTGGGAATCATAAAAAAAAAATTTAAAAGTTTCGCTAGCGGGGAGAGGAAAACAAAAGCAAGGAAAATGAGATAATTATCTCTCCAAAAGAAGGAAAATGAGATAATTAATGAATGGTACAAAAATCTGAAGCAACTGGTGTTGCCGCCCACGTGTTTGTTTTATTCGATGCGGTTCACTCCCAATATCTGGGCATCCCGACACAGCGGGACCCACAGTCACAAGAGCTCCTCGCCTTACGTCATCGCTAATGTCATCAATTGGGCAGGGATGTCAATGGACCGGTTTTTGGACGAACCAATAACACATATTGAAGTGGATGAATCCCAGAGTTAAATGGTTCAAAGTATTGGACCTTGTTCATAGATTTATATTGGATTGGGTTGGACTCATTAATACATGTGTTAATGGTTTAAATTAAAACCAATTTGTCGGTCTAAAATGGTTAAAATATTTATTGGATTGGATTGAATCTAGTTCATCTATAATGGATTTATATTAAACCAATCAGACTGGACCAAATCAGGCCTAATTCACACCCTTAAATTAAGATCAGACTAACAACGTCAAAGTTACCGGTTGAAATTTTATAATAATGGTTTAAATAGTATTATCAGATCAGATTCTCTAAATATATCCAATTGGGAGTTGATAAGAACGGTGATTGGCTATATCCTGACACCTTAGACCAGATTAGATGCTTACTTAATCAAGAAACCAGAAGAAGAGAAGATAAGATATACATGCGTGCATGGATGAAGGACACACACACACAGAGGGGGAGATTTGTATTGGCCAATATATTACATGAAGAAAGACAAGGAAGTAAGTGGACACATCAGCGCCACGAAAGATGTGGTACTGTGTACATTATACGTCTTCCACTAAAACACAACGCCAGGTCGCCAGCCAATTTCTCTTTTAATTGCAGTTTTGTAATTATTTTTTGGGAGAAGGGGTGCGGTAGGCAGGCGCTTTATTGGATTTGGATCATAGGGTCTGATTTTTCTTCCGCGGCGTGTTCAATCTGTTTGGACTGGACTGGAATAATTGACGAGACGACCACAGAAACTACTGGGTCGGGCTTTAACTAAGACTTCAGTTTTTGGACCGCCTTTATTTCGGTCCACCTATGGGTGGACTGAAATCCTGTTTGTGGATTGCTGTCGGATACACGGGTAGGATGCAGTTTATAAGGGGATTATTAGTAAATTAAGAGGGGCTGCAATTCAGATTTTTAAGGGAATTGCAGTCCTAAAATCTCTTTAGATTTAGATTTAGTCTCAAAATATATATTCAGGGGTGGAGCCAGGGGGTGGGGGAGGCGAGCCATGACCCCTTTTATACCTTCAAAATTCCTTTTAAATTTAATTTTCACTTGTATTTTATCCTCTTTATTCATATTTCCTAATTTGTAACCCCCCCTATTTATATTTTTTAAGTTTTGACCCCTCGATAAAAAATCCTAATTCCGCCCCTGCATATATTTATGTTATATGATACGAAAAAGGCAAATGAAAAGCAACGACTGACTAGTGACTATAAACAAAAGAGTCGTGGATGTTGGGGGTGGCTGCAGAAGTAGGTGGAGGGAGTGGGGACAATTGGTTGGAGTGGCGATCACGTCCACACGTCCACAGATACGAATGGAATCTCCAAAGATACTAGTGTACTGTAAAAGAGATCCGACGTCACTTTCTCTCAGAGTCCACACACAACAGAGTACGTGGTCTCTGAGTCTCTCGAAAAGTCGATGGCTAGATGTGGGCCCTCATGGCAGAGTCGTGTCTACATCACCGCCAATCACATCACTAATGCTAGGTTGTAACTGTTAAAGCTTTAGTGCTCGTTTGGGAGTGTTCGAGCCTTGGTTGAGTTGCTTTTCGTCTTCTCGTCGCACAACAATGTGAAAGTCCTCCAAACAGGTACTTAAAAGAGCTGAGAATCTTAAAGGGGAATAGGACAAAAGGATGCAGTGGTGCTTCCCGAGATACATATGGTATCATGCGTGTAGAAAAAGTGATTTTGGATTTTAGTGGGCCTATCGCATCCACCGATACTGATGGAATCTCCAAGATCCAAAAGATTCATCTTGCAATTAATCCATATTGAAGTTGACCTGAGAGAGAAAATGAAACAAAATGTTGAGTAAATTTGGCTTTCTTATTTTTCGTTTTCTGGGTGAAGGTAAATTTCGCCTTTCCAGAATTACCTAACAATTTCTTTCCTTTGAAGAACTGTTCTCTGCTTTTTTACACCAAAAATCATTAACTGCTCACTTTACACAATAATAATGGTGAGATTAGCACATATGGAATCTATGGCATTAAGATCATATCTTTAAAAACTCTATTATTGCTAAATAAATTTAGAGTATCTTAAATCCAAATATTAAGTGCCTACTTGAAATGATTCTTCATTTAGGGAGTGGTGGAATGGTTTA